GTAATGAGGATTCTGTCAAATGAGAGCTGAGGAGGAGCAGTGTGTGTGTGTGTGTGTGTGTGTGTGTGTGTGTGTGTGTGTGGCACTGGTGGTGGTGGTGGTGGTGGGGGTGTGTGTGTCAGAGTGAGATGGAGGTTTGGAAAGAGTGGGTGTATATTAGTGAAACCCCTCTCGCCCCCACGTCGTTCCCTCCACTGTCTCTGTGCTCTTCTTGCCTACAAGATTTGTGAGATTGCAAACCTACGCACACACACAGCAGCAACTCCACATCCACCCACTCTCTCTCTCTCTCACACACACACACACACACACACACACACACACACACACACACACACACACACACACCTAAGCAAAGACAGATATTGTGAACCCGTGTATCTACTCAGAAACTTTGAATATGTGTGTCTTTTTAATGTTGTTTGACGGAGGGGGAGGAAGAAACATGTAATGGTAGATGTACTCCCTCAGTGACATGTGTTCCTCAGCCATTGGGGCCAATTAAATGGTTCTGGCAAAATTGACTTACCTGAGATGGCATGACGAGGTTATTACCATGATTTCATTACATTTACAGAGCAGCTGTGGCAGAGGATGCCTAGACGGGCTGTCCTTTTGCAAAGTCATATGCTGTCTCTCATCTGCTGTAACTCCAACAGTGACTCACATGCAACTTCACAACATTATGCCAAAGTCATATGCTGCATGTAATTAACGTGCAATGCCAGCTGTATGTGTGTGTGTGTGTGTATGTGTGCAAGCGTGGGCAGTCATTTGTGCATGTGCGCATGTGTTGGAGGGGGTTGTCAGTGTTAGAGTGAGTGAGAGCATCTGTTTGCATGAGTTCAGCATGGGGATCATTGGAATTCTCAGTGTAGATCACATGAATATATGGGTGTTATAGGCATATGTGTGTGTATTTATGTGTCAAAGCCCACACCATGCCCTAATATCATGTGTACTGCACATACATAGCCTAGAGAAAATTAAGCAGGAGTTTCCTAGTAAGTGAATGTCTCAAAATCAGTCATTACAAACTTAAAATGTATTTCAGTATTAACGCCGCTTTCCAGGGAGTCCTGGATACATACATGAACAGTCAGTTAAAACATAACATTTAAAAGCCTGTAGACTGAGTTCCTATATATCCCTTCTAACAGTGTCCGGACATAATACTGGAGGCTAAACACTGCAGTCTTGGCAAACATTGTTCAAATGCATAGAACTTTATTGTGAAGATCCCAACCAAAGTTTCAAAAGATACCAAATATGTCAGGCTGATGGATAAGTGCAGTCATTAAAAACATTTGGAGTTTGAATATTTTACTCAGCTTCAGTAAAGAGTTGGAGCAAGCTAATACAGACTACTGTATGGGATACTGTGGAATAGGATGATTTTAACAACCCTGAAGCTACTTAAATGTTATATTTTATACAAGACGACTATTAGCCATGTAAATATATAGTGGTGTAATAGCATCATGAGCAGACACTGAGAGTTTTGGTGAGTTTTATTTCGCTGTGTCCAGTTTGACTAAACTTACAATATTATGATGATGTGCAAGGTAAAATGACTGTTTTTCTGGTTAAACAAAAGGTCCATCTTTGTAGGGATCCTTTCCACAATGCTGTCGGACACTTAGAATGACAATCTGAGCCGGTGTGGAAAAGACAATAACTTTTAGTGGATGTACTTTTGTCCCCAAGGATTAGCAACACTGCTGTCATTGCCGCCTGTTTCACAAATATTTATTTATTTCTGCCGATCCGGCATTGGCCGATTGTTGGAAAGAAAGACGGTTTTGGTGGGTTTTATTTAGTTTCCGTCCAGTTCTGTCCAAGTGTGTTAATTATCTGTGAGGTAAAATGACTGGTTGTGTGAATGGAGTCTGGTGGTTCACAGGGCCCAGATGCTGGTGCTCTAGTGCAACATCTAGTGGCAGTGAATTCCGTATACACTACCTTTAAGGGGAAGCATAGTCAGGAGAAAATAAGTTTTGATCCTTGATTAACTTTTTTAATGAATATTTTGTTGAATGAGGTCATGAAATGCAGTCAACAGCTTCCACCGCTACAATCTGTGTTACAGTCTCGACTTTAAAATTCTCTATTTTGTGTTTGGCTCTGTTCATTGACACATCACTCCGTGTACTCTATCTTATATTGTCACTTTGCTCATTCCTCCCCTGTCACTCCCTACATCTCTTTTTTGTGAATTATACATTAAAACCAGTTGAAATGGATATACTCCAAACATCTAGTGCCAGCAAATATGCGTCACACAAGCCTCTGGCCTCAGACTCTCTTTTTCTGTCTTTCTGTCTGTCTCTCCTACACACGCTGTTCTGTCTCTCTCACTACTTGAAATCCCATTTCAATCGTCTAACTTTCATCTCCTTGTCATTTTCATTCTCTTTTACTTGTTACCCGTTTTTCAACCCCAGCGTTATCATTCTGCTCCATCCTCAAACCACAATGTCCCGTTCTTGTCTCCACCTTTCTCTGCTGACTGTATTCCCCCATCTGTCCTCCTCCTCCTCCACTCCAGTCATCTCTAAAAGTCATCTCCTCCCACCTCCCAGTGTCCCAGTGGGGGGAGAGAGAGAGATAGACATAAAGAGAAAGGGAGAGAGAGAAAATGAGATGGGGGCAGGAGAGATCGAGATATGATTGGGCTGGAGGAACCCCCTGGTGTCAGAAATTCACCTGCAAAAACTCCCTGCTTCCCCCGCTTTTTCTCATCTGTATTCACAGTCTCTCCTCTCCTCCTGCATCATGCCTCCTCACCTCTCTCCCTCGCTTCCTCTTTCTCTCCGTCTCCCTCCTTCCCTCCCTCCCTCTCCCCACCTCCCTGCCTCCCCCTCTCTGTCCTTCTGTGTCTCTTATCATCCTGCATTGCTCCACCTGCACTGTGGTGCAGCACTGACAATCAGAACTCTGCACACATACACACACGCACGGAGGCACACAAAGCACACACACTTACAGACTCTTTCTCTCTCTCTATCTCTCTCTCTCTCTCTCTCTCTCTCTCTCCACACACACACACACACACACACACACACACACACATACACACACACACAGGGAGACACACGCCCACCACTTCCGGCAGCCCCCCCTCCCTCTCTCACACCTCTCCACTGCAGACACGAAACATTCTACAACCCCTGGTGTGCCAGTGCTTCATCAAGAGACACTGCCAGCACTACATCAAAACTGTATTCTGCATTCACATTGTTAATACCACATAAAAATGACTATAATAACAAAATGAAAAACAGAGGAAGTGTTAATGATGAATGAATAAAAGGATGATAATGAGGATAAATAATGATAATAATTATAATCAGTGTGTCATCTTAATTTAACCTTTGTTTGTATTGCACCTTTTTTTCAAGTGCTTTTAAATACTGTGCAATATTATCTTCATTAATAAATTGATAGGAAAATGACACTTTGAAATAAGCAGAAAATAAAATAAATACAGAAATAAAGACATAGTCTATAAAATTGTCTAATTAGTCTGGTTCTTGCTGTCTGTATCTTCTCTCTCTGCTGCCTGCCTGTTTATGCTTTGGGAGTATACTGTAGTAGCTAAGTTAGACTGAAGTAACCTCTATTAGTGTACAAAGTAATCTACACACACTTGAGTATGTGTAGACATTCCTGATTACTATGCCAACGTGAGCCAAGCACCTTGGATGAATAATTTAGTCACATGATGAAGGAATGCGTGTGTGGAAAAAGAGGCGGTTTGGCTCTAGAAGAAGAATCATGTTTATAGGAAGGACAAGAGACTCTGGCCCTTTAATTTGGTGTTGCTAGGGAAATGAAGCTGTTTACTCTAGCATCAGCATCAGCGATGATGTCTGCATGAACTCTCCATGTATTCCTCCTCATAAGCACATACGTGCATGCACGCATTACCCAGTCTTACTGTGTATGTTTCTGTCATTTGTTTCAGCAATTCCTCTCCACACCCCCTCGTGCAATTGGTCAGTTCACATCAATGTCATGAGTGGAGGAAAAGAAAGGAAAGATATGACGAGGAAGATATGTTGCACCACGTTAATATATATTACTTAGATGGAAAACAAAAGTAAATGAGAGAAAGTTCGTTGTTGGACCAATCCGAAGGTTTGGACAACAGGAAAGTTGAGCTAAAAATGAGAATAAGAAATCAGTCCTGACATCTAGTGGATATTGTGTGGAACTGAGAATGTGTATCTATGTAGAATATCTGTCTGTCTATTTCTTTATATAATGTGCAGACCTTTAAGCCCCCTTTCCCCAGGCCTCATATGTAGGTCAAGGCCTACTTAAGTATTACATAACACATTTTAGAATGGCTCAAAAAGTAACAGAAAATGTTTAGAAAAGCTATAAACTAAAGTGTAAATCATTTAAAAAATAACCATGAGCCTAAATAGAAAGGTAATAAGGGGTGTTATAATGAAAACAACTGAGCTTGGTGCAAGATTGGAAAACTGAGTGAAATCCTTAGCAAATTATCAAAATGATCAAATAACATATCTATGTATGCATAAAGAGATTTAGTAGAAAGATATCCCTGTTAGTTAATCTGCTCTCTATAAAATTATACTATATATTTTTTTTACTAAAAAAGATTTCTGGTAGAACAGGTAGCAAAAAATCCATACTATATATTTTTTGACTACATATTTTGAAAAATAAAATATTATTGAATACAATAGACAAGAGCCAACAAAAGAACAACCTAAAAGAAAATAAAGATCACACTGAAAGGTCCAATCAAATAAACAAATATACATAAACATTAATAAAATAAAAAAGTATGGTCAGTACTAATAAGCTGTTTTGTGGTTTATTCCGTTTTCATGCTGCTGGATCTGACAACAGATTAACGAACAATTAAACTCAAAGGGGCTCGTACTGCTTTCGCCGAAACGTCACACGATGACTATTTTTTTGACCCAGCTGGGCCACCGTACTTGTTGTGTTTGTTTTAGTGAAGGCAAAGATGGCGAACGAGCTGGACAGAGTGCGAATCTCAGCCGCGGAGCTCCGAGCAGAAGCGTCGAATTTCAATCAATATTACTGACTGTCAGAGAGGTGAGAGGGGGGTGAATCGGATACGTGGAGGGAGTAAAATCGTGAAAAGGTCGATAAATCCGAGCGGAGAAGTCTCTCAAGTTGTCTGAAAGTGAGCTACGGAGTTGCTAAGTTTGTCAGCAGCTAATGTTGTTAGCTCGTTGGCTAACTGCCTGTCCATTCTTTGGTCCCGCGCGGTCTGTGTTAAACGCCCCCTTCAAATCATAAAAGACACCAGATTCATTTATGCGCGACTTGCTTTTAATACCCCCCCCCCACTGCCTTTTCTTGTGTTACTTTTAAGCAAATTAGAGGAAAGAGTGTTGCTCTTAATGTTTAATGATTTATCGACGCGTTGAGTTAGACGTTAGTTAACGTTAGAGAAAGGACTAACGTTAAGTTAACGGCTGTCAGCTAACAATACAGTTACCCTCTTTCTGTCGAAGAGGACAAAAGGTTTTTTTTATAATACTTTATTTAAGTCTGTTTCTTATTTATTTGTAGCCGCACAATAAGTGCAATAACAATTCTCCTTAATCTAACATTAACTGTAACGTTAACGTACTTTCTGTTCGTACATCGCTGTGACTGTTCAGGTCCATTAATGCGGTGTTTAGTGGGTATCATGTGTTTGTGAATATGCACACGTCTGTTTCCATTTAGACATCCAAGGTTTACAACCTACCATCCATCACATTATAAGCATCTTAAATGTTGATAAACGTGATTTGGTTCCGAAACAGGCAGAACTTCAGTTGTTGTGTATTTAATGAATAAAGCTTAAATATTGTCTGTTTTTGTTATTATTAACTAATTCTTTAACAAGAGTCTGATGTAGCTTGTCTCTCTGTGTGGTAGCCCTCTGTTTTTGTCTGAAAACTATTAAAACTCCATAAAACACTCCATTGCATTGGGTGACATGTCCTTTCATCATGATAAACACAGGGACTGTTTTTTAGTAAATCCAAAATGCAATGCTCTCCTGCCATCAATACTACCACAGTAAATGGATATTAATCACAGCTCAAAATAAACAAATGGCCTATTTAATCCTGCTTAAGTAAGGTTTGCTAAAACCATCAATACCTACTTTCACAGTTTAAATGTTTGAAATTTGGGGAGCTTCTTAGGTAGCTTCTGTTAGAAGTCCCACAGCTCAAAACTTAAACAGTGGGGCGATCTTCCTTTGTTTTCCCTCCTCCTCGACGGTGGAAAAAACACCCCCCCCCAATCTCGGCCTTTTTAAATCGAAGCTTAAGACCCACTTTTTAGATTAGTTTTAATTCTGAATAGGACAGACTGTCTGGTGTCTTATGCCTTCTGTGGTTTTGGAAGGCTTTAAATACCCTGCAGTGTATTTAAATTTATTTTTTTTATATACATGGTTACATTTCGGCAACTGAAGGGCTACAAATCTGATTTGATTTGTTAAGTAAATTACTGAGCTCTTTGTTGGTATCAAACTGTTTTTAGACCCATTTTTAAACATGTACGTCTTCAGGATGAATGAATGGGCTTGATGCTGAGCTTCACAGTCAGGGTAGATAAGTTGGAAAATACTGAGAGACAGTATAAAGCATTGTTGAATTTCATGGGATTTAAAAGAGAACCAGAATATGCCAGCCTTAATCTTCAATACCCCTACCCCATATACTGTGTTGGCAAGTGACTTTTTTTCAGCATCTTAAAATCCTTCTCTCTTTGTGTTTTGCTCTCGGCAGAGGAGCAACAGGAGCATCACATACACAAGCAGCAAAGGAAGCGTGAAGGAAAGCGCCCCGATCTGCAGCGTTACCAGTCGGTAGCTGGACATGGACGGCGTCCCCATGACAGTGAAGAGGGAGAAACTGGTCAAAGTGACCCCCTGGCTGCTGATTCATATGAGCATGATCAACCATCACAGAGTGAGAAAAAGGGTGTCTCTGATAAAGTTTCAGAGAGACATGAATGCACAGAGGGTGGGATGGGAACTGACAAAAGGGAAGAAGACAGGATGAGAGGTGATGGTAGTAACTCTCAAAACTGTAGAAAGGGCAGCAAGTCACAGGCTAAAACAGAAGCAGATCAAGCAAAAGGCTTTGTTGAAAATGACAGAGAACACCAGGAACCTGTTGGAGCTGCTAAGCCGACAAAGAAAGCCCGCAAACCAGACCGAGAATTTTATCAACCTGGGAGCCGGAGGAACTTTCAGGGAAAGGACTGTGGAGTTGGAAGAGAGCAGGATAAGCCTCCCCCTAGGAAGCATGAACAGAAAACTGAGCCAGAATCTCAGTTGAGTACAGTGGAAAGGGAGGGGAACAAAAAAACGTCTATACAAAAGCAGGGAGGGAAAGAAAAAGAAGTAAAAGGCTTACAGGAAAACATAAAAGTGTCTAAATCTAGTGAGACAAACAGAAAGCAAGGAAGTCGAGATGTGGAAAAACCTCCATTGCCCTCTGACGCGTCGGTGGAGAAAATTACTAGCAAAGTAGAAAAGCTCAGCGTGAAAGAAAAGGCTAAAGCAGGATGTGAAGGCCAAGTTGTTGAAGAGTTAAGTTGCAGAAGAGGGGAAATGACTGATAAGGAAAGAAGAGGCCAAGGGGGAGGGGAAAAAAAGGAGGAAGAAAAGGTAGAGAAGAAGAGGGACAAGGGTAACCGCAGGAGAAGAGGAGGGGAGAAGGAAAAAGATAGGAATCAAGATTCAAGAAGAGGAGACCATGAAGTAGGCATTGGGGGAAAGAGCGATGGGGGAAAAGCTGAGAAGGAAAGAGACAAGATAGCAGCAGAAGCCGATAGGGATAACAAACTAGGTAAGACAGGAGAAACACACCCAAACAAAGGAAGAGAGAATCACAGAGAAAACAGAAGAGGAGACAACAACAACAACCTGTCCAGAGATGCTGAGAAAGATGCTAAGACACAACGAAATGTAGACAGGGCTGTAGAAAGAGGTGATAGAAAGCAATCCAATGCAAACATCACCACACCAACCTCAAAACGATATTCCAAATCAGATATTCGGCGCTCACGGAATCGAACTTACAGCAGTAGCTCAGCCAGCAGTGTGACCAGCCTGGATGGTCCTGGACTAGGAATGGATGTAGAAAGTATCAAGTGGCCACGCTTGGAGCCTAGGCACAATACCAAAGAGGGGATGACTAACAGTGGGGCAGGACGAAGGAGTCATTTACAAAGCTGGACAACCAACAGGGAATCATCTACAGAATCACCGGAAGGGAGTGAGATGAGTGACATTGCAGAGAATAGAAGGAGGAGAAGAAGAGGTGGGGAGGAAGAGCTAAGTGCAGAGAGGCGGAGGGAAGAAAGGAACAGACCAAAGGGAAATAAAAGTGGAGGTCGGGGAATCCTAAGGGTATCTCTAGAAAAACAACCGGGTACCTCATCACATAGTGGAGTTGCACAACATCGCAAGCAAGGCATGGTCCCCCGTGGCAGAGGTGGGGGTATCCTGGTCCTTCCAGCCCGCACAGACATCTCTAATTCACCTGAGGTTGGGCAAAGGCTTCTTTTTGGTGGAATTAGGGGAGGAGCTGCTTCCAGGAGTAGAGGAGGCAGAGGAGGAGTGAGACGACTCTGGGATCCAAATAACCCAGACCAGAAACCTGCTCTTACCAGCACCCAATCCTCACAGCATTCATCTGTCCAACAGCCTGTATATCTTCAGTCAGGGACTGGATATGGACAACTTCACTTTCTGGACACAGATGATGAGGTTGCAGGCAGTCCTCCGGTCCCACAGGATGAGCACTTTAGATCCAAGCAGGCTGCTGCAATGGCTTACTACAAATTCCAGAACTCCGACAACCCTTATTGCTACCCCATGCCCACCAGCAACCCACATAATCCTGGCACGGCCACCAGCCAGCGCTACCCATATCCGTATCCAATGGGGCCCTACCAAATGTCTCCCACAAATGGTATGTACCCGGGCCCTGGTGCTGGTCAGTTCGTTGGGAGTTACAGGGGAGCAGGTTATACCCAGCCAGGTGCAGGAGGTGCCTTGACATTTGAAGAGGTGGAGCAACAAGCCAGAGGGGAACTGGGAAGGCTGCTGAGGGCAGCAGATGCACAGGAGCTCCAGCTCAGTAACCTGCTGTCCCGAGACAGAGTGAGTGCTGATGGACTAGATCGCATGGCCCAGCTCAGGTGAGGATTCAGGGGGGGAAATGTCTATCTTATCTTTGCCCTTTGGGATTAATTACTAATAAACTCAGAAGAACTGAGCCAGTTGGCATATTGAAAATGTACTGTCCCGTTATGCCCTCGTGTTTTCTAGAGCTGACCTTTTGGGGCTATACGAGCAGGTCATCCTAACAGACATCGAGTTGTCAGACTCTCAGAACATGGATCAGGCTTTGTGGAAGAATGTCTTTTACCAGGTCATAGAGCACTTCCGGCAGCTACTCAAAGACCCAACCTCTGACAACACCCCTCATATCCGGAACATGCTGCTCACACTGCTTGACGAGGTAAGGAATGTGTGGGAAATGTGGAGGGACAGGTATAAAGGTCTTTGCAAAGAGGGCAGATTTGAGGGCCACGATCCTTAATCTTACAGATGCATATTAACAGTCTCTTTGGTAACTTTATTGGATATACAGTTGTGACATTTATTAGTATTTGGGTAAGCACTGGGATCAGTAAACCAAAATTAGTGTAATTGTGTATTATTAGATTATATACATAGTGTGTTTGTATGTTGCCTATGAATCTTGGAAATGTTTATTTTCAGAACCATTTTACAGTGTTATTTTCTTGTAATGGTAAAAGTCCATCATGAATTCATAATTCCTGTCATATAAGTAAAGCCTGTAAACTTTCTCTGTATGCATTAGGGATGTCGCTAGGACTGATACTTCGGAACCAAGTCTATGCCAAAGTTCTGAAAATGTTAAGGTACTCGTTTTTCTAGAGTAGCGTAGATACCGGGGATTCATTTCTTCGTGACCTGACATGTGCTCTGCAGAGAAACACAGAGACAGATCTCTGCTCTCTGGCACGGACACAGGGATATTTTACAAGCACAGACCAGGTAAAGCAAGAGCGAACAGCAGTAAACGCAGCAGGTGGTGCTGATGTCGGTACCACGTTGGTTTTGATCTTTTTGATATGGTGCGTCATTAACAACGAGCCTCCTCCACACACAGCTCACCTGCTGTTGTTAGAGCAGAATCACGGGTGAAAAAAGCCCAAATGCGAGTCGTGTCCTTTGGGAGACTTTGTAAAACTTAGTGCTGAAGAAAGTCAACAGAAACACATACAGGGAGAGAGAAACAGCAAGAGATGTGCGTGCGTGAAAGAGGGAGAGAAAGACGACAACCACAGTAGGTGTGTATGTGTGGAAAGAGTATTGAAGGGGAAAGCAAGGTGAGAAGATAGTATGAGTTGAGTAGTGTGTGAATAATACTGTTATTTTTTGTAATTGGAATTATTTTTAATGAAAGGAGTGCAACTTGTACATGGGATTTATTTTTTACTGTGGTATCAAGAATTGTGGAATTTCACTGGCATTGGTATCGACTACTAAATTTCTGGTATTATGACATCCCTAGTATGTACACATACACGTATTAAAGATGACTAATTATGGAAAAAAACAATGAATCTTTTCTTCACTTTAACTTCACTTGTCCATTTTGATCATTGCCTGTGTCTTACAGGGAGCTCTATTCTTTGATGCGCTGCTTCAGAAGCTGCAGACAGTGTACCAGTTTAAGTTGGAGGATTACATGGATGGCATGGCTATCAGGGCTCGACCATTACGCAAAACGGTACAGCAATGCTCATTTTGGTCTGTGTGTGTTTAACGCCTGTTCGAATAATAATAACTCTTAAAATGTATTCAGTATCTATATCTAATACTATATGCCTGCATTACAGATACAGTGTTAAATGTATTGAGCAAGTCAATGGCCAGATTACTGTGTTAATAGCAATATATCTTTTCTGACAGCAACTTAGTTTACAGTTATGTAATAACTGAACTTTGTATGTGGTAATTATTTTTTGTATTTCTGTATTTTTCAGGTAAAGTATGCACTTATCAGTGCTCAGCGCTGCATGATCTGTCAGGGAGATATAGCACGTTACCGGGAACAAGCCAGTGACTCAGCCAACTACGGCAAGGCTCGCAGGTAGGTTTTAATTCAAGCATTCTATATTGTGTCATTCCTTACACACATTGAAAAATACGTCATGTGTATCGGCATTAAACATTCGATCTGAGTCAGGAGGTTATAATGTCAAATATGTAATGACGTGTTATATGTCAATAGTAAGTTCAAGCTCTGACAGGTTTTTATAACTTTGCCATTCTTACTCCTGGACTTGTTTTTCCTGAGACACTACCTGCTAAAGACAGGAAACTACCATAACAGAAGAGGTTCCTTTCTCGCTGCCTATGGCCAATTAGTTGGGAACCATATTATTTTAAAGTAAATGCAATGCAACTGCCCTTTTGAAAGGCCTAAGTTTTTTTGATGGTATCTTATGATTGCACATTTTCTATTTTTTCTAAGCTGGTACCTGAAAGCCCAGCAGATTGCCCCCAAAAATGGACGACCATATAACCAGCTGGCCCTGCTGGCAGTCTATACAGTAGGTGAAATGTAGTATGGAAGGTTGAGAGTTGGATATTTAGCTGAAAAAGTTCTGTGCAGGCCTAAACAGGGGGATAATTGAAAATACAACTATATTTTAAGTAATGGTTTGTTCGCACCCACCCTCTTATTCTCTTCCCACCTCTCTCACTTACAGAAGCGGAAGTTGGATGCTGTGTATTATTATATGCGCAGCTTGGCAGCCTCCAACCCCATCCTGACTGCAAAGGAAAGCCTGATGAGTCTGTTTGAGGAAGCTAAGCGTAAGGTGAGACACACACTAGTCATTAACTCAATAGTGCCAGATGATTGACCTTTTTTCTTGGACCAAAAACTTGAACGTCAACTGCAGTTCTAACATAGTTGTCCAGGCTCTGCTTGGATATACTCATAGAAAATAACTTAAAGTCAGAACCTTGGAAGTGAACCATCATGGTTTGATAGCAGTTATGTTAGTGGATGTTAATTATTGGTTGGAACAGAAGTGGATGGACAGAAGTATAATTTTTATTTTATTTTATTACTATTTCAATTTATACCTCATATCACATTTATACCTGCCCAAGACACACTTGATGATTTTATCACACACAAAATCCTTGAGTTCAGATAAATATTAACACATATAAAAAAAAAAATCTTATATATAAATGTATTAGATTGTTAATTAAATTTAATAATTTGCCTTATTACCTTATTAGCATACCTCGTCATGTTTACTATAATCTGGTGATTATGCAGACACTTCAGGCAGCGCAAGTGCTTCTTGTTTACAGACTTTGTTCTTGTAGGCTGAGCAGCTTGAACGAAGGAGGAGGCAGGAATATGACGGAGGCTCCAGGGGTCCAGCAGTAAGAGGAAGAGGAAGAGGGGAAGATGGAGCACGTGTGGAGATTTGGATTCGCCCCAGCGGACAAGCAGCAACCCCATCCTCACTGAGAGGAGTTAGCGAATCCAGCAGAGACTCTGAACAGGATGGAGAGTTGGGCAGTCTCAGTGCTAGTGATGTAAGATCCCTTTCTTTTGCTCTTTCACAAATACAGACACACAAACACACACACAAGATTGGATCTCATTTCCCCACTCTATATGCACAAGACTGTACCCTACTCAGAATTTTGTCTGTTGAATGACCATTATTAATGTCCAGTTGGCTGTTCAATACTAAGATTTGACAATTCATTCCTGTTTTCAGTTCAGTGCCACACTAAACTCCTATATCAGCCTAAGTCGCATGTTTTATCTGCAGTGTAAGCTCTGTAGGAGAGATGGTCTGTGATGCGCTGTGGGATTTTTTTTAACTTAACTATATAAGCAGGACAAACACTTTTACTTTCTCTGACTGTGAGGGAATCTGGTGTTTTGTAATCACAGATGATGAAGGAAGACATTATTGCCAGAGTCGGGGAAAGAAGAAGTGTGCGTATGCTCACACAATTGATTATCTCTCTGTTGACAGGCCGGAACCTGAACAGCCACTGACAGTGAATGGCAGTAGAGGAGGTTGTACCACTGTCTGACCACTTGTGTACATCATTTGAAAAGATAACATTTTTAACAAGTGGCCCAACAGTAATAACACACTGGGACAAACAGACTCTATGTTTTTCACACAAAGAAAGAAATAACTTGATGTGTGACATTTGCAGAATTCACAAGAATGCTGAAATAATGAAGAATTTGTTGTAGGCAGCGTGTCAAATGTGCCCCAGACCACCTCGGCAAGTGGTTTGAGTGATCTGATCACAATACGTCTTGGTGATCGTTTGCACTTATATTTAGAGCTATCCACTTGTGATCCGATCAATACGAAGTATAAACAGGTTCTCAAAGACACTGGTGTGTGTGTGTGTATATTTATATACAGATACAGCTCTGTCCATTACATATACTGTCAATGGTCCAAACCCAGCAGGTTGAGTCGGGTACAATCGGGTTCAGGCAGAGAATCAAAGCTCTACTCTAATCATAGTTTTTTCTGGATGAAGATCATAATTTTCCATACTGTTGTCTTATTGTCTATTTCTCTTTATCAATTACAACCATGCTGTGAGCGTTCAAGAAAAATAACAATTTGTTTAACATGCTTTATAGCAGTCACACTGGTTATACTAATAGTGGCTTTAAATGCCCTGCTAAAATGTAGTAATAAAACATAGTTTTGTACTATTACCATTTTTCTTAACTTTTTTACAAATCCATTTTGTCTTTCCAATGTACTCTGCCTCTGTTCACTAGTTGTGTGCGGTCAGTGTATTCTGTCGATAGAGGCGTCTGTATGTATATCCTCTCTGCCCCTTCCAGCTTCAGTAGCCTCTCAATCCATTTCCTCCCATCCCTATTGTTCAATGCATATAATAATAGTACATGACATCAGTTCTAAACCTCTCCTTGTGCTTCGACAGTGGAGGAAGATATGTTTTCTTGTCATGTGCTGTGCTGTAGGGTTTGTTGCAAAATAAAACTTGCCCAAAGATTATTAATACTTTTCTGCTTTTGGCCTTCTCTTTTTTTCTCCAGCTAAATAAGAGATTCATTCTGAGTTTCCTGCATGCACATGGAAAGCTCTTCACTAAAGTGGGGTAAGTGATGTCTCATGCATTCCATCTCTTAAATTCATGGACTGAATGATCTTTAAATTCTTTGCCTTCTGTGTCTGTTTTTCTTTATTTTTGTGAATGTGTGTTTCTTGCCTATACAGCATGGAATCCTTCCCTGGTGTGGCGAGCCGTGTTCTGCAGGAATTTAGGACGCTGCTCCAGCATGGCCCTTCCCTACTGGGCAGCACGCACATGCTGCAGATCATCACCATCAATATGTTCACCATACACAATGCCCACAGCAGAAGTAATGCTCACATTCACTATTCATTCATATGCATACACCATGATTGTCATCATAAAACCACACATATTCCATCATAGCTTTAATGCATTGTGTGTATCTGCTTAATTAATACAGAATGGCTGGGGAACAACTTTCACTTGTTCATTTGTTTTTTGTTCAAAGTGTGAAAACAGAGTTGATAATGGCTCTTTGCCCCACTTTAAATCTTCTCACATCTTCTCTTCACAAGTTGTTATTTATTCAATTGAGCACTCAGTTCTTGAATACAATTAGAAAATGAACACACATGCTGGGGCTGCACACAAGTCATTTGTAATGTTGATACAAAGAGTATTTAGGAAGTACTTTTTCAAATTCTTGTCTCTGTTTTTGTTAGGTGAAGATGGGGAGGTGCGGTCTGTTTTACACGAGCAAAGCACTGCCCTGGGCCTCGGCATGTTTGCGCTGCTGGTGCAGCGCTGCACAGAGCTGCTCAGAGATACTCCTGCAGGTACACACACAGAAAGATCAACAAGTAGTTGTTCATTTAAAGTATTGGATCAGCAGTGTTTATGTATGTGGCCCTACACTCATATCCAATTCAGGTACTTTATTATTTATTATTACTTTATTAATTTATTAAATTAAGGTAAACTTAAAAACTAGTGCTGTCAGTTTAACGCGTTATTAACGGCGTTAACGCAAACCCATTTTAATGGCGTCAATTTTTTTATCGCGAGATTAACGTTCTTTTTGGCCTAGCACACTTTGTAGTTTTTTTCTCATGCTGTTGCAACAACTAGTAATGATAGAAAAACTACAACACCACACCGGATCTAGCTAGACCGGAAACGAAAGAACAGGCACGCCGCACACACTTGTTTAAGAGTAGTAGACGTTATGTTTTGAGTGGATGGCGAGCGTGAGACGCCAAAATGGATGCCAAAATATTCTGAATGGAAAGTTTACTTTTAAAAAGTTGCCAAATGGTTCCATTGACGAGACCAAAGTGATCTGTGTGTTTTGTCGTTGTGAACTGAGCTGTTATCGCAGCACGCCCAGTCTGAAATACCACTTGATGGCCAAACACACAGCTGATGCAAATTCTCCGCCCCCTCGTCAAACCCAGGCGACAATGGATGATTTTTCAATAAAAACAACATTTGCACAAAGCAAGCTGATCCACTTTTCCATGTTGATAAGAGCATTAAAATGAGAAAAAATAATGGGACAAAAAGAAATCAAGGGACATTTAGAATAGATAAAAATGTCAGACTCAACACATCCTCCTTTCAGTGTTGGGTTTTTGTTTTTTGACTATTAAGTTTTAAGAAAAAAAATCTCTTTCAGAACCAGTCCCCATGGCAGATGGAGAGGAGGAAAGTAAAGGGGAGGAGCTGGAGGGTATGGTGAGGGTCTCTGCCTTCCCATTGGATCTTAGAGAACTCCTACCAAGCATTAAGGTCTGGTCTGACTGGATGCTGGGACATCCAGACCAGTGGAACCCACCACCATGCAGTATAGAGTGAGTACTTTTTAAAGCTGCAAAAACAAATTGGTTTGGAGGTTTTTTGCCAATTGGGGTCAGTGGAAACAAGTTACAATCACAGCGTTTACATATCTTCACCTTTTTAAGGTGATATATGAGCAACCTGCTAGCAAACAGTTGCTTATTTGCACATCCAGCACTTATGGAGCAACCTGGTAAATCTGGTCTCTACCAACTCAAGCATCTTGCTATTTAGTTGCTAAATGCTCCATTATGTTCACCAGCTAGTTGCTAACTTTGTTGTTTGGTGGTGAGAAGGTAGTGTACAGTGGGTAACTTTTTCACTGAGAGCAGTGGTAGTTAATCAAAAGGTGAAGCTGCAATCCAGACAGCTAAATAGTGAGCTAAAACCCTATAAAGCCAAGTGGAATAATTTTCTGAAGGTTTATGACTTTAAGCTGTGCATTACACACATTTTTTGATACATTGTTATTAATAAAAAGTATTTATCATATCAGCTTCAAATTACTACCACGTGGCAATCCGTTGCTTCTGCTCATGGCCCTATACTGGTACATTTACACAAACTACACACGCCAGCTCTTTTCAGACTGTAGTTCTTTAATTTCTCACCATCACTCGTGACTTTTCCTCTCTATCAAGTTCCTCCCCTGATGTTTGGCAGTGCCTGGCTGATCTGTGTAACATGCTGGCCCGTGTAGACCATGAGGAAGTGCCACTGTACAAAGTCGACACTGAAGAAAGCGAGGGAGATGAGGAGTTGACTGTGCTGCAATTGAAGGAGGACCGGCTACTTGCTGGCTTTGTACCACTGCTGGCTGCACCACAGGAGCCTTGTTACAAAGACCGACAAACTGACATGGTAAATGGAAAGTAAAGGTGTATTTTATTATATTGTAACCCTGCAGTTCATACTACCACTCCTGTAGAACAGTCTACTGATTTTTTTACCTTCAGAGTGTCAGATTTTATATGTAACCCTAACAGTTCTCTTCCTGTTCTCAGTGCACATATACATTCTCCCTCTTTCCTCAGGCAATAGCAGCAGATTGTAAGAGAGTCACAGTGCTGAAGTACTTTCTGGAGGCTTTGTGTGGACAGGAAGAGCCTTTGTTGGCTTTCAAAGGGGGCAAATATGTCTCTGTGGCAACTTCTCCTCCATCTAACCACTTGATGGATACAAGGAGCAGGCAGGATTCTCTAACAGAAAAAGAGGTGACTGTCTTTCGCCTACTTTCCCTCTAATAACCTTTCCTATTCAGTTAGCTCCCATTTCTTATTTTCATCTCTGATTGCATGCCTTTTTTTAAAAACTTGACATATACAAAATTATGTAAATGCTAAAATCACATTTTCTTTGCAGTTAAGCCGAGGCTGAAATTCTTGAAAATATGTCTTGTTTGGCAGGCTGATGATGTCATAGTCGAGGCAGAGTCCTCTCTCTCTGCATCAGAAGGAGAGGAGGAGGCGGAGGACAGTGAGAATGACATCAGACAGCTGAAGGCACGACGCCACGCGCTCACCAACAAACTGGCACAGCAACAGAAGCGCAGGGATAAAATTCAGGTAAAACATTAGTTTTCTTTCTGGTGATGTATTAAAATTGTAAAGTTTGTATCAATTGAATAAGACAGGTGTATATGGTTATACCATGTTGTGCACAGTGGAATTTCACATAAAATTTAATGTGTGTGTGTGTGTGTGTGTGTGTGTGTGTGTGTGTTACAGGCAGTGCTGCAAACAGGTGGGCAGTTGGAGCTGGAAGTGAGGCCTCTCTTTTTGGTTCCAGATACTAATGGATTCATTGATCACTTGGAAGGGCTGAGGAAGCTCCTTCAGTGTGGAACATACATAATAGTTGTGCCACTTATCGGTAAGACTGAGACAGAAACAGAGAAAAGAGAAAAGACATTAAAGGATGGTTGCTCTAGTAAAAGGGTGGAGGATTAAATTGAATCGTTGTGACATGTTTAAAATTATATGAATGCCCTGTGCACTCACAGTGTGATGTGTGTTCTCTCCCTCAGTCATTACAGAGTTAGATGGGTTGGCAAAAGGACAGGACAACTTTGGTGGAGTAATGGGGTCAGGAGGGCGCAGCACTGGCCTTCGTGGCAACTATAACATCAGCGCGACCCATGTGCGGGCCGTGCAGGAGAAGGCCCGGTTGGCAGTGGCTTTCCTAGAGAAAGGATTTGAAGCCAGGGAGCCGTACCTTAGAGCCCTGACAAGCAGAGGAAATCAACTTGAGTCTATTGCATTCCGTAGTGAAGACAACTCTGGACAGCAGGTGAGAGCCCAGATAAATGTAGCCCAAAATGTTGGAAATAATAGAATAATAGGCATTACTACTACACCAAATACTTGTACTGTTTATTTTTTAGTAACTTAGGTTTCTTTTCTTCCTCAGGGTAATAATGATGATGTGATTCTGTCCTGCTGTCTCCACTACTGCAAGGACAAGGCAAAGGATTTCATGCCTGATCAGAGAAGTATGTAACGTTGACTGTCATTAATTTGCTGTCAGTGTTCATGTTCTCACACACAAGCAGAGACTTACAAACTCGTACTACTCTTTGTCCCCCCTCCACACACACAGATGGGACAGTGAGGCTCCAGAGGGAGGTGGTACTCCTTACAGATGACCGTAACCTGCGTGTCAAAGCTTTGACCCGCAACGTCCCAGTCCGAGACATCCCTGCTTTCCTCAGCTGGGCCAAAGTGGGCTGAACCATGCTAAGTTGGAATCAAAGGAACCCAACTGCTGAAGCCTGCTTGCCACTCAGCCAGGAGAGGAGACACACTTAAGCAGAGGAAGGGGGAGTGGAAATGATAAAGAAAGCGAAGAACCACTTCTTATGAAATATAAGCAAATGTAGTGAGAGCAGGGTGGATTCGAAGAGCTTTTTCCCCCTTGTGATGAAGTGTGTGTGTGTATGTATGTGTTAAGATCAGTGAGCTTCCCTGGAAAGAGACAAGGGAGACTTAATAAGTCTCAGGAAGGCTGGATTGGATAGAGTAAGGGAGGTAAAAATTGAGTGATTTGATTTAGAAGTTGTCTGGGCCAGCCTCGAGCCTCTACTCATAGTGAGTGAGTGTACTCTGCAAGCAAGCAGTATTCAAATTTGAGGCTAATGATAGAATGAGGCAGAGAGTGTGTTAATGGTCGTTTAATTGATTAAAGACAGCAGTAATAGAGGCCATAACTGGCACTTCTGCACCTCTCTGAGGGCCCAGTCGTATTTGACTGCTTTGCCCTCTACAGCAGAGCTGAGAGAAATGTAGGTGGAAAGGAGCACAGCTGGAGGGTCTTAGTCAGTACAGTAAAAAGTGGCTGACCCTTCAGTTGGACACAACCTCAACACCTTCAGTGCAGCTATAGTATTTCCTGCTAACCCAGGAAGTGCTTGATGCCTGTTTTGGGTTGTTCCTCCAGCTTGATGCTAGGATTGGTAGAAGTTTGGGTATTGTAAGAAAATGTTTTTAAAAAGTCAACAAGAAAAAACATTCATTATTATTTATGTCCTGTTGCTTTTACTTGTTTTTGTAAAATTTTTGTTTCCTTCTTGGAGGCCATATCTCCATTTTGTAGACTGATAATAAACACCTGCAAAGTTTCCCTGTAAATGGCATCAACCATGGGTTTTGGGGTTTTAAAACAAAATCAGATCTGGGTGCAAATGATTAATGTTTTTGCACCTAACAAATGCGTGGTATTTAATGTACCAAGGCTTTTGTCCTTAGAACGAAATTCCACCTATCTATCACTTGAGAATATGGAACAAAGATTAGCAAATTATGTTCGATCCAGGTCTGTCTTAGACGTTAGGAGATGGTTTGGTGACTTTGCAGATGCTTTATTATCGAGTGCCATTGGTGACACTTTATTTTCTAGTAATATTCACACTCATATCAGTCTTTCGTGCTTTTCAGTTAAATACCACCACAACAGTCCATTTCATGAAATGTTTTTAATCACCAATATTTTTTTTAAAGGTCACAGATCCACTTTAAGCCACTTCCACTATCCACTCAGTTGAAATAAAATACATGAGGTAAACCAACATAAAATCCAATTCAAGTAACACCTCACCGACACATTGTTAACAAACATTTAACACAAACGTAGTTATTTGTGTTTGCTTGCTCTACATTGCTTTGGGAGATCCTGAGTTATGTCAGTGTTTGTTTCTGTGTGCACTTGATGGTGTCTGGATGTTCAAAATAGATGTAATCTGCACCTGTATTCTCTGTTATGCTACGTCATACATAATTCATCATTCACTCATCAGTTTGATCATATGGATTTAAAATAATTCTGTGTGTAGAAATGGCAACCTTGCTTTCTATTTGTCCTGTAACTTCTCAGTAAGGCTCGTACAACTTCTGTCAGCAGTTGATGTTTCTGTATTTCTGTCAACAGCCAGACGGGTTTAATTGTTTTTTCAGCTCCTCTGATCTGGTGCTACTGTAGTGTTCAGTACAATCTACTGTGTTAAGTGGCCCTTCTGCAGTGTTTTAGTGTTGGAGCAAATGTAGTAAATACATAATCAATTTAACACCAATTACTTTCTCATCTTCCATCATTAAAATGTTTTGAAGCCATTGTTTAATTTTCCTCATTAACGAGCAAAAGAAGAGTGTGGTATTCATATTTAATATCATATAACTTTTTAAAATCACTGGATATGTGAAGGTTTGTAAATTTAGATCGCTAGTTGAAAAAGTGTTGAAATACTTGACACAGTAAAATGTGATAGAATCCATTAATAAACCCTGATAATCAAAATTACAAGAAATGGCAAAATACATGCTACATGTAATGATCTGAAAAATCTAAATCATCAGCGTACTGTACGAAAACCTTTACACGTGTGCCCTCATGTGGTGGTTGAAGACGACACCGGTGGGAGTGAACCGAGGAGCCAGTGTTCTGAATGTACTTTAATACAGGGAATGTGTTGATAAATTGATGAAACAGACAAAGACGAGAACAGGTATAGGTCAGCCATACTATAATGATCAAGCTGACGTCAGTGGACAAACAAAAGCCTAATGACCATGATCATCTAGATCGGTTCAGTCCTGATATTCTATTATTCAGGCTGATATCTGGTAATATTTAGTATCCCAGTGTTAATGAAGAGCAAGGCCCACAAAGTCAGTCAGTACCAACAACGTAAGAGTCTTCCTATTATTCACTGTTACATGATATAACTCTTCTATAACAAGCAGCTATTGTTAATTCTCAGCATGTAACAACTAAACACAAGCACCATCATCACAAACACTTACACTGGGCGGCGGGGGGGGGGTCATTTTTATTTATGTTATATTTGTGTGTGTCAGAGACAGAAAGTTCTGCAGCCTATCCATCCATTTCATTTGCTCTCTGTATACTTCTGCGCCTGGATACAGACCACACAGGCAGGACCTGATTCCCATCATCATGACAACAGGGCTACCGAGCAACCAATCAAAGCCCTCTGAGCCCTGTTCTGCGAGCTGATTGGTCTCTCAGCCTGCAGCCTGTTGTGGAATGCCCATCTTTAACCTCTCTGCTGCCATGTACATTGCATACATCTTATATTTCTCTTGATGCAGATTACACCTACATGTTTAATCCTCTGAGATATGGCGTCACGCATACTGACGTGATAAGTTTTTTCATGCCAGAGCTAGAACATCTTGAAAATTGTGTCAAGTGTGAATACAGAAAAACAAAAGCCTCAGCTACATAAATTGTCACTTGCACGCTTCCCTGATGTCAACATAACAGGATGAAGAAGTGACACTGTCGCAACATCTGTAGCACATCAATGGATTTATCAGTTGACAAGCTGTTAGGGGACTGAGCACAGAGGTGTTGACCCCCCCCCTCTGAAACTATGTATGCACTTTACATAGTTAAACCATGTTTCATATTATATAACCATGTAATAACAGGTCATATCGCTCCAGGAATATAGGGTGTTGTACTCATCACATGCTTTCATAGATGTTTCACATCATTAGGTAATTATATTTATATGTTTCATATGTTTCCTGTTCACTAGAATAAATGATGGTGTTCTTCTCATCCTATTGTGGACAGTGACTGATGAACAGCACATTGTGGTACCTTGGACATATTTCCTGACATCTTGGGAATCTCTGTTATTGTTCTGGGATACATAAAACAGTTTTTTAAACATGGTCTGTGAGTTAACGACAGGCTATTTATAGCAGAGGCCAGATTAAGACCGAAACTGATAATCAGGTTAGGAGCTCAGTGACTGAAAGTGCATAAGGCCACACACACACACACACACACACACACACACAGACACACACACAGACACAAACAGGGAAGAGGGAAATGTGCATTACTTGGTTACTCACAGCTATAAAATGGACCAGGGCATCATATTCTGTTTACAGTCATTATGTGTATGGTGTTGTGCATCCAGATCACACACACACACACACACACACATGCTTGCAGTTGTTGGATGGCACAGCAGTACACACATTAGGAAGGGGGGGGGTCAACATTTACCCTGGGGGCTACACCTCGACAGCAAGACTCTCCAAAACCTGTCACATGTGTAACTCTCGCCTCAGTTAGAGCCGCCTGTGCGAGCTCCACGAGTCTGTGCTCCTTTAGATGAATTTGCTCCTTTACTCCTTCACGATTGGGAAGGGAGGTGATTCTCCTCGGCCGCCATTTTTAGGGAACTGCCTATCGAAGAGAGAAACTTTGCCTGCTCGTTAGCAGCTAGCTAGTTGGCCAGTAGCCTGTCTGACTGCCAGTTCGTTGTGACACTGAACGCCTGACAGTCGTTAGCCGGGTCAGCTCGTCTCACGTTGATATAAACGATCCCTGCGGGCGGCCAGTGTACATGACACACACATCTGTTAGTGCTGAAGTGGACGCTTGAGGTCGACTTGAAGTCAGCGTCGTCTGTACATCGGGTACGGCAAATTAGTGCGATTAGATCGGCGAATTAGCATTGCTAACTTATTAGCCAGCGGATTCCCACTTTGATTGCCTCGTCTGTGATTTAGCGTCAGCGACTGTGTTCATGGTGACTGGATCAATCGGCCACTTACACCACACTGCTCGACCTGTGTGGATTCATCTTGACCAGGTGAGTTGGTTGCTAACTCTAGCTTTCTGCTAACTAACGACTGCTACCGTCAGATTTGTTCCTGCTGCAGTGGAGCTTCATTTCAGCGTAGGTTAGCTTGCGAGCTAGCCAGCTGTATTGGTTGCTATTCGCCAGCTAACAGAAAGTTGTTATAAGTTGTACGGTCTGTCGCATCGACTGCTTTCAGTCTACCTTACTGGGCGACTTCAGTGGTCCCTTGTTGGCGCAAAGGGGGTTTATTTTGAATGCCAATGTCAACACATCAGCGAATAATACCAGTGTACGGACAGCAGCACTAGCGGGCTCAGTTGTCAGTGTTTTGTTTTGTTGTAAATAATGTTAACATCGCTTTAACGTTACCCGAGGAGCGTTAGCTCGCTACGTTAGCTTGCTAATCCGCTTTATGCAACTATCGTTGCAAGCAGTGCCACTCCCTCGTTTTTGTTTTTGTCCACTGTGGCTGTACGTTAGGTGAAACTCACGCTTTGAGAAGGGGTCTGTTTGTTTGTTTTTTTTAAGTTTGGTTATCTGTAAAGGGTCATCATGAGTCGCATACTGTATGAACAGCTAGCAGTGTGACGGTAGGTGACATTGGTCGAGCCTATTTCCATGTCTGTCGCACGTATACGTCCTGACATTGTGTTTACAAGCAGCATTAGTCAGTTCGGGTCCGATGTATCATCGTGGTTCTCACGGTGAGAGCGACAAGCAGAGCTCGCGTCCATCTGCCGCTGATGGTTGTTTTTGTGCACAGACGTGAGTCGCATTCCTCGGTTTTCTGTGTTGATATTGCGTAACACTGGCTATCACTCGGCAAGCTACTCTTCTGCTTGGCTTTACTGTTATCTGTGACTTCGCCGCTGAACTTATGCATGACACACAATGATTTACCATAACACTTTCAGCTGTGGTTGAGTCTGTGTACCGTTGACCTAACCAAGAGATTGCGCACTGTTGAGTGCGTGAAGTGTCACATTTGATGTCCAAGGGTTTGATGGATGATGCATTTCCCAACACCTACACGTTTGTGTGCTGGCTCTTTTTGTTAAATAAGCATTGCAGTACAATATGAGCAGTCCACCCTGTCTTTGTTTATGGCTTTAGACCGTCCGTGTTATAAATGCAGCTTATGGGCAGGTACTACTTGTCCTCTTACTCTGATATCACAGATTTCTGCTATTCTGCCCTGTCCTTGCCTCCCTATGTTCTCTGTAACCTGTGCGGATCTGCACACCTGTCATTTGTTCATTTATGTCTCTGCATGCTTCTCAGAACAACAGTGCATTCACAGGCTGGAACAGCTCCCCTTCTTTACTCTCAAGGACTTGCTGCTAGCTGATGGCGAGAGGTACGCAGCTGTTATCGACTGTGTACGTCTCCGTGCAGGACAAACCATTTCTAAGTTGTGTTTTCCTGTGTGCCAGTGTTATATCAGGGGGTGCTGAATATGGGCGCACTGCATAATGGATTTAAGTGTCTCCCAGGAAAAATGGATTAGACACTGGAGCAAAGCCTGCCCTGCTTGCTAAAGTCGAGATCCAAGTCAGTCAGTGACAGTCAGCCACTGCAGAACAAGTGCTCATTCCACAGTATGAGCCACTGCAGCACTGCCACCATAACTTTATTTGTTAATGATTTTAATTATGTAATGTTAGGACCAAAGGCTTACTGATTGCAATGCTACAGTGATTTTATTATATGAGACTTTATTGACTAACCTGACTGGCATTTTCAGTGTCATGGCTATGTAAAAAAATAAAGTAATAAAGTTATGGTGCTCCTCCTTTTTAAAAAGAGTTCCTAAGCATCTGCTCAAGGTCTTTGATTGACACCGACTGCTGAACAGTTGGAAATTAATAGCATATTTTATGAGTCACACTGAGCTAGAAAAAAAAATACACAGTAACATTTCAATCACCTGATCTTCATCGTCATAATGTTAAATTAATACCAGTTTTTAGCGGTCTAAATAATTCTGTCTCAAGTCCAAGTTACTCCTATATGTGGTAGTGCTACTGTCTGATTTGACAAACCGCATCCAATGAGATTACTTTGTAAACTTGGGTGTTTGGATGCTTGTATGTCTTGTTGAAGGTGCCACAGGGACATTATCTTCTCTTCTTTTTTTTACCTAAGTGTCTTTTGTTCAGAGGAAACTTGGTATGTTGTTGATATTAGTGACATTTATCCCAACAGGAAGACTGTAAATGGAGCTCTGTGAGTGAAATGGGATGGGTCAAATCCTCTTAGTGTTAGGTCACTCCATTCCTCTCTTCTGTCACCATCATCTCTACAGCACCACAAAGCGGGATGTGTTGTTGTTGTTGACACTGGGTAGCAAGAGAGCTTTCACTTCCTCCACTCAGTGAAAGCCACAATCTGTAATCAGTCTGGGAAGCAGAAGCATGGACACCCCACCCTCCATCTTTGGGGATAGAAACATAGGGCCTGTCCTCACGAATACGTTTTTCTCGAATCCGGATAAATACTTTATCGTATCGGCCTCGCGTCCAGACGGATACGGCGTTTTCGGTGTGTGAAAACGTTATTTTTTGGAAACAGGTCCCAGAGTTGGAAAATCCGAAAACGTATTAGCCCCGCCTCTCTAGCCTTTAACCTCAGCCGCCGCCGCTAGACGCATCATAACAACAACAACAACAACAACAACAATGGCGGACTACTACTACTTGTTTGTAAACAGTGCATGCTCCATGGCTTCTCTTCCGGTTTTAGTGTATTGGTGTGGCGGCGTCACAGCGCCACATGCAGGCGTGGCATATGCACTACAGCGTTTTGGGTCGTTTCAGTGAATCCGTGTGGACGCAGATATTTCTGGAAACGACATCGTATTGGGTGAGGCCGCGTATTCGTGAGGACATGCCCATAGTCTGTAAGCCATCTGAACAACAGCACACATAGAGGTCATGAAACTAACATTGTCGCTGAACAAACAGTTGTGATGTTGTTTTGGTTGATGATCTTTAAAGTAGGTTTGCACCTAACGAATCTTCTCTCTCCCAGTAGCCGAGTCCAGTACCTATACTGATTCAAGGACAGTCAGATTATATACTACTTCACTTTATCTTTTTAAAATCTGAACACCTCAAAGGACCTGATCGGGCCATTCATTTATGTTTAAGGTAGGGCAAGGGTATACATCATTTCTGAACTGTAAGTGGAGAGGTTCTTCTTTTAAGACTTTAATTGTTGTTATAATGCTGCATTGCTACAATTTGACAGAGAGAGAGAGAGACTAAGAAGTATTTCATATGAACTAGTTAAATCTGGTTGATACACAATCATTTAATATGATGTATCAGCTCAGTGCATTCCTGCTTTGAATTATTTAGCAATACAGCATTTAGTATCTTGGTGAGGACATTTTGAAAGTGTATGTATGAAAGTGTGTCTATATATATGTATATATATTGTTTGTGTGTGTGTGTGTGTGTGTGTGTGTGTGTGTGTGTATATAGCAATCCAATCATATAGCTTTTATTTTTTGTTGAGGTGTGTATGTATTTGTGAAATGAAGCAAATCGAAAAGACTACTGAGTTCGAACAGTTCTTTAAAAAAAAAATCACTCTACACACCCACACAGGTGATTTCAGTTATTCTGCTTGATGAGATTTCTTTTCAGGTTGAATCTTTTGCTGAGGTCAGCTCCATGTACCTAAAAGAATCATAACGTAGTTCCACCTTAACAGGTGCAACCAAACCAGGAGAGTCAGGGAGATGTCAGTCATGAGGTCATGAGGAGGCATAATCAGATAAAATAACTAAAAAAGGAGGTATAGCATGGATGTATAGAGGTGAATAGAGAACTGTGATGAATGTTTTAGGCTGGGTTTTAATAAGCTTTGCCTGAAATTCATAATGACTTTTCTCTTTTGTACACATTTTCTCTGCATTTTGATAAACCAGCGAACAGCAGTATTGCTCCGAAGCCGATCCTCTGTAGCTGACCCTGTGCAGCTAAGAGAATTTTACTACTGCGATCAATAAAGTATTTGATTATTTATTATCCCTCTCCAATCCTCTCTTGCTCATCCTCTCCGTGACACCCCTCGCTACTCAGCTTTTGTGTATTGGTTGCCTCTTCATTAGGGCTTCTCTGTGATTTTTACAGTGCAGAGGAAATCAATGAATACATAATACAACAAGAGAGAATCCATTTTCTCGAGCAGTAAAGCAAAACAACTTTGGGTGCATTTCTTGAACACACTGGTCTGTGTGTGTGTGTGTGTGTGTGAGAGATGCAGTCCAGTCCAGCTCTTGCAGAGTCAGTCTTGTGACTTAGTGTTCAGTGCTGTGTTTCATTGTGTGTCTGTGAGAGAGGGAGATTGTATTTTTGTTTTTCTTCCTACACTGTATTATCTAGGCTATTAAAAATGTATACACAGTCCAACTTAAGTCAAGTGTTGTGTAGTTTAATCCCTCTAAGAGTAAACGAAGTGGCCAGGGAGTGTGTTTGTGTATATACAGTATATAATGGTGTCTTACAATTTTCTTTTTTTTACCTCATGCTGCGCCATTAAAACGTCTAATAAAATAAACATTAACTAATAAACATTACAGCTCCACCATCCTGTCCTGTCATCAAGAAAAACTGCCATTCTTTCTTTAAATAATTTTTTTCAATTGGTTTTTCCTTTGAGTTAACACTCCCTCCCCACGTTTGTGCCATCACATTATCCACTTTCAAAAGGAAATCCAGTTAAGGAACCAAGATGCTCTTTAAAAAGAGTTTTTCTTGTTCATTAGTAAGCATGACCACCTTCCATCTCCAGTCCACTGAGCCACTGTTGTAACAATGCGACTCATTACAACCTATTAAAAACAAAATATTAATGAATAGTATTGGTTAAAGGAAACAGTGAAGGCAGCCAACATTGTCTAAACAAAATCTCACTGGAAACAAGAATAATCAGAATCATCAAATGTGTCTGTCTACGTATTTATGGTACCTGTACATTTGTCTTTTTTAAATTGTAAGTAA